ATTAGTTGAGATAGAAAATCGGGCATAAACAGTTTAAGAGAAAAAAAAAAGAAAGCTAATCTTCATCAGTTCCACTGTTCTATAGTTGTAGGTCAAGTGCACTTAACTAACTTTTTGTTTTGCTAAAAATTTGGAATGAGGGCAAAAAAAGTATTTCAGGGAAAAACTGCTTATTTCTGCTAAAACTTTGATTCACAAGGGGATTTAATATCCCTTTTTCTACAATTTGCCCACAGTTTTATATTTACTCCAATTGATTATTTATGGAATTGAATATTGTAGTGCCTCCACGACAACTGTAACTGCTGACATTTTTTTGGAGCCATGAAAACAATGAACGAACCATTTAGGTTTACGTTGATGGCGATTCATCTGTAAGTCTCGATAAGACTGGCCAAAGCGAATCTGGACCATGGGGACAATGGACACCTGAAGAGTGTTCACGAACATGCGGTGGAGGAGTGCAGATAGAAAAGCGGCAATGCTCGTGCGTTGTTCATTTCATATTCTTATCTTGAAAAAAATGCACCAATCTAATGGCTAAATCTAGATTTATTGAAATCTCAGTGTCCTCAAGACAATATGTGCAGCGTTTTTTGGCTTCTACATCTGGAACGGCTTATTTTCGGGCACTTAGAGTGATTCATTGTTGTTGCTAAGTTAGCTGAGTCACTGTAGAGCCCGCTTGATAAATGGCGACAATTTTTGAAGTAGTACCTCTCTGCGAAGAAAACATGAGCAATTGGTTAGAACCAGGGTTACAATTAAAGTCTATTATGTCCGGCTGCAAAATTACGGCTGTTACATAGTTTACTTCGTTTCGGTGGAAACATGAAATAGGCCTTGAATGTGAAACTCTCAAAAAGCTCTGAATAATACGAAGAAGACGAGAATCCGTAATCATATCAAAAACTGAAAGCTGATAGCTTTGAGACGCAGTTGTATCATAAAAGCTATTGAAGCTTACACCATGAAATTTTCAAATTTTTTTTTGTTTGCTGCTCTACTTTGAGTCTGTCTTTTAATAATGAGAGGCTTTATTAGTCGTTTGTGAGTTGCTGGAAAAGTATCTCGCTGTTGGGATTTCCGTTTTCTTTTTAACCAGCTTTAGTGAGCAGAAGCTTAGTACGGTCGGGCAATCGTAGGGTAGTTGAAGCACAATCTCTTCATCCCGACCCATAATGAGAAACTTTGAAAGCGCGTTTTCTTTCTGGACAATCTGC